ATTCCTCAACTATGATATGCTCATCGGTGTCAACCAGGGAGAGGGCCTCAAGTTCGTGGAGGACTCTGCAGAGAGTGAGGATGGTGTGTCTGCCAGCGCCTTCGACTTCACTGTCTCCAACTTTGTGGACAACTTGTATGGGTATCCAGAAGGCAAGGATGTGCTGCGAGAGACCATTAAGTTCATGTATACAGACTGGGCTGATCGGGACAATGGCGAGATGAGGCGTAAGACCCTGCTGGCACTGTTTACTGACCATCAGTGGGTAGCCCCAGCTGTGGCCACCGCCAAGCTGCATGCCGACTACCAGTCACCTGTCTACTTTTACACCTTCTACCACCACTGCCAGGCTGAGGGCCGGCCAGAGTGGGCAGATGCAGCACATGGGGACGAGTTGCCTTATGTCTTCGGTGTACCCATGGTGGGGGCAACTGACCTCTTCCCCTGCAACTTCTCCAAGAATGATGTCATGCTCAGCGCTGTAGTCATGACCTACTGGACCAACTTCGCCAAGACTGGGTGAGGGCCAGAGGGGCTAGTGGGGCTGGGTGGGGCACCCCTGCAGATCGAGGTACTCTCACCATCCTCGGCTGGTTCCCTCTCCCATCTTCTTTCACATAGCTGTCATTCCTCCAGGAAGACACTGACTCTTGCTTTCCCCTGCTTTTGTGAGACCAACTGCTAAACACCTTCTTTGTACCAGGCACTGAGGGTTAGAGATTCAGTGGTGCTAGAGAGGTCCCTGTCTTTTCTGGGGGTGGGTTCTCTAGGTAGCTTTGGCATGGTATTTGTCTTTCTTGTCCTCCCAGCTCTCCCTTGCCCCCTGACTGGTGGTCTGCATCTAAGTATCTTTCTCTGTGTCTCTATCACCCTCCCGAAGTCCACTGACTTCTTTCCCCTTCTCTCTGCCCTCTTTGGTCTCTGTTTCCTAGCTGTCTCTCTCACCAAGGCTGCCTCCTTGACCCTGGCTGTCTCTCATGTGTCTCTGTCTCCATATCTCTTTCTCAGTCTCAACTTCTGTCATTGCATATCTCTGTCTGACCTCATCTCTGGCTGTCTCTGCAGTGTCTCCTGGTCTATCTGGACCTGTTTCTTCATTATTATTATTATTAATTAATTAATTAGGCAGGGTCTATTTAGCCTAGGCTGATCCTTGACTTCTGTCTCCTAAAGCCCTGGGATTATAGGCATGTGCCACCACATCACCCTTCTTGGGCTTTCTAGCTGCTTCCTGGTGTTTCTACATTTCTGTCTTCTCCCTCCCCTCTGCTGCCCTGTCCTCCTCTGGAGCTCACCCTCACTTCTTTCCTTGCCCTCCTATGCCCACAGTGACCCCAACCAGCCTGTGCCACAGGACACCAAGTTCATCCACACCAAGCCCAACCGCTTTGAGGAGGTGGTGTGGAGCAAGTTCAACAGTAAGGAGAAACAGTACCTACACATAGGCTTGAAACCACGGGTGCGTGACAACTACCGTGCCAACAAGGTGGCCTTCTGGCTGGAGCTGGTGCCTCACCTGCACAACCTGCACACCGAGCTCTTCACCACCACCACTCGCCTGCCTCCCTATGCCACACGCTGGCCACCTCGCCCACCAGGCTCTGGCACTTCTGGCACTCGCCGCCCTCCCCCACCTGCCACCCTGCCACCTGAGCCTGATCCTGAGCCAGGCCCAAGGGCCTATGACCGCTTCCCTGGTGACTCGAGGGACTACTCCACGGAGTTAAGTGTCACTGTGGCAGTGGGTGCCTCTCTCCTCTTCCTCAACATCCTTGCCTTTGCCGCCCTCTACTACAAGAGAGACCGGCGGCAGGAGCTGCGTTGCAGGAGGCTTAGCCCACCAGGAGGTTCAGGCTCAGGTGTGCCTGGTGGGGGCCCCTTGCTCCCTACTGCTGGCCGGGAGCTGCCCCCAGAGGAGGAGCTGGTGTCACTGCAGCTGAAGCGGGGTGGTGGTGTTGGGGCAGACCCTGCTGAGGCCCTGCGCCCTGCCTGTCCACCCGATTATACCCTGGCTTTGCGCCGGGCACCGGACGATGTGCCTCTCTTGGCCCCTGGGGCCCTGACCCTGCTGCCCAGTGGCCTGGGGCCCCCACCCCCACCCCCACCTCCTTCCCTCCATCCCTTTGGGCCCTTCCCACCACCTCCTCCTACTGCTACCAGCCACAACAACACGCTACCCCATCCCCATTCCACCACTAGGGTATAGGGGGCAGCTTGGGGAGGTTCACCTCCCCAACCCTCCCCAGCCCAGGCCACTCCAAAGGCAGGGAGGAGGACTTGGCACCGGGTTTTTCTCCTGTGGATTTGTCTCACGTTGTGGAGCAGCGTTAAGGTGGACATGGGAGTCCTCACTGGGATGTGAGTTTTTCCCATGCTGAGAGGCCTATTTTCTCTGGACCTGGGCCTTTGAACACCTGGAGGGTATTTTTTGCCCTCCATTGGGACACCAGTCTTCGGTGTGTGGAAATGTGGAAGTCTTTTTCCCATGTGGAGGCGTGCTTTCTTCATGAGGGGGTGTTTTCCCATGTGCAGGGTGAGGTTTTTTTGCCGCCCTGGACACATGTTGGCCTCCTCAAAGAATTTCTGTGGGGATTTGTACCCCAGAATCTTGTTCCCTCATGCCTTTGCCTTCTCCTGTCTGTCCCATTCCCTGGAGACCCTGGAAGTGATGTGTTCACATACAGTGACCCTTGGCCACCAGACAATACAGGGTGGTACCTGGGGAGCAGCAAGGAATCACAGGTCCCCCTGACCCTGCTCCCCCCTCCACCCCTAAAAAGCATGTTTGTCCCCGATGGCATAAGTCAGGTGAAGCACATTCTCCTGGGAGGCCCTTGCCTTCCATAGACAACAGACATGGATTTTCTTCCAGAGGGAAGGGAGGAGATCTATGCATCCCGGTGCTGCCTGGAAACTTTCCCATGGTCCAGGACACATTTCATTGAATGGAAACATGTTCTTGCATGTGGATGTGTGTTTTCCAGGCAGAGAGGTCCTGCTCTCCCCAGTGCCTCCCTGCATCCTCCACACCTCAGGCCCAGCATTCAGTTCTTCCTCACATAGCAGGTGGGAACAGATTTCAGATTGACAGAATCCAAGGGAGAAGCCAAACTCTGAGGAAGTTGCTGAGAAGGGAGGATGTGGGGACATGGCATATGCCACACACACAGGCCATGCATGTTTGACCAAAGCCCTCATGGGGCCTGAGGACAGCCTTTCCTTCAGTCCTCAAGATCATTGCTCATCTGTGCCAAACTGGGTAGGTGGATTGGGGGTGGGGGAAAGAGACTCAAAACGTGCCAAGGATCCCCTAGTCCAGGGAGGGGAGATGCCATGGGCAGGTGGCAGCTAAGGGGGCTCCCACTTGTGTCTTGTCCCTGTGTCACCCCTCTACCTGCCGTGGTTCCTCATTCTCCATCACTGGCTCCTTTGAAGCTGCCCCCATCTCAGGGTCAGACCAGACTTCTCTCTTCACCTTCTTTGACCTGCCTCCCCTCCCTGACTGGCTGGGCTGAAGGAAAAGGAACAGTGGAGGGGGGAGGGGAGGAATCAGGGGAAAAGGTTTCATGGACAGGTTGGGGAGAGAATGAGGTCAGCTGCACTGAGGAGCAGATGGAGGGGGCCATGGGGGACAGGGCTTGGGTAGACACCAGCAGGAAGAATTTGAAAGGAAATGTGTGAGGCAATTGCCTAGAGGTCCTTGGATTTGGACCTCTGGGGAAAAGAGCAATGTCGGTAAGGGTTTTAAGGGACACCAGCAGAAGTGTGAATGAATTCTCATGTGTTGTGTGGCTTTCTGTGGGATGTTAGTGCCAAACTTGTATAGGGGTGGGGTGCTGTCTTCCACTGACACCCAGATCCAGAATCCCTGGTCTTGAGTCCCCTGTCCTTTCTCCCACCTCCACCTATGGAAACTTAGTTCTTTTCTGGCCCTTTCCCCTGCCTGGTCTAGCAATTCTTGGAACAGCCATGCCCTCCAAATGCTATTGACCTGGGCCCTGAGCCCTGTAAGCAGATACCCACTGAGCTGGGGCATGAGAGGGGGGCTGGGGGACCCCATGATACAGCCACGGACTCCAATGCCCAGCCCCTTTCCAAAACAATCCCATGTCTCTACCCCAACCCTTTGCGGCTCTGTACACATTTTTAAACCTGGCAAAAGATGAAGAGAATATTGTAAATATAAAAGTTTAACGGTTGTGTCTGCTGTTATACTAGAAGGTTGTGGGTAGGGATACTTGGCCCTTCTTTTCAGGAAAATAACTCTTGAGACCTGAGGAAGGGAAAATGACTGGGGTAAAGTTGCCATGATAATGGGATTGGAAAGTTAAGGTCAAGACCTGGGGCCAAATAGCTGCAAACACTTGTAATCATAGCACTCGGGGCTGAGGCAGGATCTTGAGTACAAGACCAGCCTGGGATACATGTAAGACTTGATCTTTAAAAAAGCTGAGTTGGGCGCGGGGCGTGGTGGCGCACGCCTTTAATCCCAGCACTCCGGAGGCAGAGGCAGGTGGATCTGAGTTTGAGGCCAGCCTGGTCTCCATAGTGAATCCAGGCCTGCTGGGGCTACAGGGAGACCCTGTCTCAAAAAGATTCCCCCCTCCAAAAAAAAAGCTGAGTTGGAGTGACATATGCCTGTAATTTCAGACTTGTGAGGTGGAGTTCATAAGATCAGGGAATTCAAGGTCATACATAGCAAGTTAGACATAGCAAGTTAGCCCATCCTGGGCCACATAAGACCCTATTTCAAACAAAACTAAACCTGCAGAGTCCAGTGTCATTTTCGTAGAGATTAATGAGGACCAATGGGTTAGAGGGAGCCAGTGGATTCATCCAGAAGACTGGCTATAAAAGAGGTATGTGCCGGGCATGATGGCACATGCCTTTAGTCCCAGCAGAGGCAGGCGGATTTCTGTGAGTTCAAAGCCAGCCTGATCTATATAATGAGTTCCAGGCCAGCTGGGGCTACAGGAAAACCTCGTCTCAAAAAGACCAGGAAAAAAAAAAAAAAGTATGCAAGGTATATAGTTTGAGCCCTGCCTAGTCCTGGGTTTAGGCTGGAGGGTCAACTCTGGACTCAGCACTTGCAATAGCAACTTGTCACATTATGAGGGAAAGCCCCAGCATCATTGTGACCCGATCACTCTCATGACCCTGTGAGTCCAACTGGCAGGCCAGTGGATACTGGGGATAGTGGGTTTGGGGGCCTAAGGGCCCTGGTGGCCCCAGGGACCACCATGGCCATGGCTGAGCGGCCACGACATGGGTGGGCCTCGTGTCACAACCCCAGCACCAACAACTGCCAGGACATGGGAAACTCCATCCTACTGATGTTGGGTCTCATCATCTGCATTAACATTGGCATCAATATGGTGACCCTGGTCAGGGCAAGATGAGGTGGAGGGAGGGCACTGGTGGGGTGGCTGGGAGGTGGGCCTGGTGACAAGGATCTGTCTGTGGTCACTACGTCTTCCTATACCTAGCTCTGGAGTCGGCTCCGTGTCATCTTACACCGAATGTTCCATATCATTTGTGAGAAAGGTAAGAATGACTGGGGGTTGGGCATAGGAGGAGCAGAAACCAGGTATTTTATCCCACCTAGCTTTAAACTGGCTCCTTACTGTTCTCCCCTCTGATACCACAGAGGTGCAGTTTCTCTTTCAAAGCCCAACCTCCCTTCTCTGTAGAAGCTAGATTCCACCAGCCTCACCTCTCCCTAATCCACAGAAACCACTAAATTATCCTCACCTGGGAAGCAGGCCCAGCCCTTGAGGAAGCAGACCTACCCTGAAATCCATCTTCGATGCACCATGGATCCTGTGAAAATGACTGTGATGCCTCCACCCACTCATCGTTATCGCCATCGATCTTCTCCATCTCACCAGGCCCACCGCCCGGTAGCTTTGACCCATGACACTGATGACGAGAACCGCCCCCATCAGCATCCAGCAATCTGTTCCTACCACCGGGGTGGCCCTCAGGAATGGAACGGCTTCCAACCCCTTCAGGAGATCTGGGACCTCTGGACTCAGGATGCCCTGGAACCATCTCCCCAGACTATTCTTTTTCAGCCAGCGGTAGAGGGAAGGCCCCTCAAAAGAGAGATGAGGTCTGAGCACGGCCTAGAGGCCTATGTGTACACTGTAAACCCCCCACCTCCCAGCCCAGAGGCTTTGAGCCATAAAAACAATCGGGTGGAGACAGGAAGAGGTGCTGAGAGTGAGCAAGCACAGTGCCAGGCTGCTCCACCACCCTTGCTGGGTCCAGCAAATATCCCTGAAATCCCCTGGCGCTGCTCCTCCGGTGGATATGACGCCAGAGAAGTGAGACGGCGGCTTAGGGAACTGACCCGGGAGGTGGAAGCCTTATCCCACTGTTACCCCTTGGTCTCTGGATCCAGCACTGCTGAGGGGACAGGCAAGGACTGGGTCTATCGTCCCCTGAAGGGGAGATGACTAGGAAAAAAAATAAAAAAGAGAGGCGGTGGTTGTGGTGGTCTTGGGGGACGGGTACTCACAGATCCCAGAATTCCTGGTTACTAAGAGAATGATCTCTCTATCAACAGGACCTAGAGAGTTCTGGGGACCCTTGTCAACCTCTTGCCTTCACAGGCCCTGTTCTGAGCCCTTTCCCAGGCCTTTCTTGGTTCCAAGTTTTCTGACTGCCTCTATCCTGTTTTCTTTAGCACCCAGAAAAGTCACCGAATCTAGTCAGATCCCCAAGCAGTCCTACACTAGAGGAGAGACTGCAGTATCATGGTTCTAGCTTCTCAGAGGTCTCAGGAGCCCCTGTTTGGCTATAAACCCAGGGTAAGCATTGTTCCCTCTGATGCTCTGGTGTCCTTCCATTTCTTTGGTAGCAATGGTTGAGCAGAACCTGAAGTTCCCACAAACCCTCGAGTATAGACTTAGAGCAGGAGATAGAGACACTGTCAAGAGGTGCCTCACCATAATGTCTCAGCCCTCTGTGATTTCACTCCTCTTCATGTCACAAATGAGAGACTGAAGCTCGGGCCAGATGACTTGCTTCTGGTGATAAATACCAAGGACAAGTTCATGGCCTTAAGACACTTTATCTCCCTGGTCCTGCTGGTGGATAAATTCCCACTGTCAAATGAGTCAGCTCAGCCTTCCTGCCTCAGTTTACCATGTGACATTTTCAGACTATTCCATCCAATGATAGCAGAGAAATTGAACCCCTGACCTGCTACCAGATGGTTGAGGTCCTCATATGCATGTGTACACACACTCTTGGGACCAAGGAGCCATATGAGTGAGCCCAGGCTGAAGGAACTGGACCTCACCTTCCATACAAGATTTCTGGATTGTGTGCATACTTTCTGTGAATCACCCTATTTCTCTGTTCATTTACATTCAACTAGAGTTATTGAAGTTGATTGATAGCACATGCCTATAATCCCAACATGAGTATTCAGGAGGCTGAGGCAGGGGTTTCATGCAAATTCAAGGCCAGCCACATTTACCTACCCAGTTCTAGGTCAGTCAGGGCTCCAATAGCAAGACCCTGTCTCAGCAAAATAAAAAACACCCTCAAACAAAAAGAAGTTATTGTTCATTTTAAGTTAATTATATTCCATAGGGACATACTGAACATGTACTGTGTGTTTGGAGATAGTGGGAAATACTAGCCTTTCAACTTCATTTCCACTATGTAGTTTATGGTGTAAGACATGAGTTTTTGGCAGGTGGAAGTAGGAGGATCAAGAAGTTCAAGGTCATCCTTGGCTACATAGTGAGTTCAAGGGCATCTTGGGTTACCTCAAACCCTGTCTCAAAAACAAGAAGGCTAGGTGTGATGGTGCATGACTTTAGCCCCAGTACTTGGGAGGCAGAGGCAGAGGCAGGTGAATCTCTGTGAGTTCCAGGCCAGCCAAGACTACAAAGTGAGACCCTGTCTCAACAACAAAATGACTTGCTAGCAGGGTGTTGTTGCCACATGCCTATAATCTCAGCACTCAGGAGGCAGAGGCAGGAGGTTTGCCACAGTTCAAGATCAGTCTAGTCTACATAGTGGGTTCTAGGTCAGTGAAGACTACATAGCAAGACATGCCCTCTTTAAAACGATTTATTTTTATTACTTTTTAATTAGTGTATATGTGTGGGGTTATGTGCATGAGTGCAGGTGCTTGTGGAATCCAGAAGAGGACGTCAGATCCTCTGGAGCTAGAATGGTAGTGAGCTTCCCATCATGGGTGCTCAGAACTGAATTCAGATCCTCTGCAAAGAGCAGTATGTACTCTTAACTGCTGAGCCAATTCTATCTTGTCATGAAAGACCAAAACAAACCAGCCAACCAACCAACCAACCAAACAAACACAACTTGCAGTCAGAGTGCTACTTTCATAAACTCCAGTGATAAACCCAGTTTATATGACATATTTTATCATGTAAACAATTCCATCTATTTTATGCTTTAACTTTGTGTTGGTTTATTTTTTTCCCAATGCTAAGTAAATGTGATTGGCAAGCACAAGTGTGTGTGTGGGTGTGTGTGTGTTGTTGTTGTTGTTGTTGTTGTTTTATTGAGATGGCATCACAGCCCAGGTTGACCTAGAACTAGAGCTCTTCTTGCCTCAACCTCTCCAGTGCTAGGATTGCAAACCTGTTGCCAACATGCTGAGCTAAGGTGGCAGTTACTGTTTATTCAACTTGAAGTTTTTTCAACTCTCAATGGGAGAACAGTTGGTTTGGAAGGAGACCATAGTTGAGATTGGTGGGTGGAAATGTGTATGATGCTAAAGCAAAAGTGTTAGGCTCAGGAACCGCAAACACCTGCCAGAAAGGGCTGGGCAGGGTTGGGTGCTAGAGGGATTATGACAGGAAAATGAGGATAGAGGAGAATTTGTACTGTAAGGTGATCTGTCATCACTCTAGATGTTGGCCTCAAAGTAGGCATGGAATAGGACACACAAACAGGCCACATATAATGCCATACTATCTCAAAAGACCAATGAAATGTAGGAAATCCTTTATGAATATTCTGACCCTGTGAAGGTTGTCTCACAATTGTAGCTCCCATACTTTCAGATCAGGAAGCAGGTGTGGGGTTAAGCACAGAGACAGAGGTATAGACTGAACTCAAGTTCTATCAAATGGAAGCCAAGGATATAGACAGTCATGTAAAGGGGTCAGTATGCGGGGGTCTCTCCCTCTCTTCGCAGGTTGTTGGCCACTGGTCCACGAGGGCAGGGGGAGCTTAAGCGGCAAACGGAGTCAGGACGGCCAGTGAGCACTGATGGAAGAAAGCCCTTGCGGGGAGGCTTGTTCCATGGCGCAGTGAAACAGCAGTGATACAGCTCCAGACTCAGTGAAACAGCTCCGCTTATTCAGTGGGAGAACTAGAGAAATTATAGTGTGGAGGCAGTAGCCAAAGCCTCAGCTGATAGGTGCTCATAGTATGCTTTATTTACATGTGGCAGTGGGCTCCTATCATCCGACTATCAGGCAATGCCTGATTATCATATAGGAAAAACCTGGGGGTAGTTTTTACTCCAGGTAACTATGCCAAAGGTCATGTTCCAAATAAGGTCAGGCATCCATGCTTGGTGGCACTTTCCAGGTAAGCCAGGAAGAGAGCAGGAGGCCCCCTGCTGAAAAGGGGAGTCCTTCCATTTGGCGCCGAGCGCCTTAGGGCTATCCAGACATGGAGAACTACAACCCTAACAGCAGGGTTTCCCAACATCAGTATATTGGCTAAAAGAGCTTCACCTCTCCTTTGTGACTCTAACTTGCCTCATTATGACCTGGCTCCCTCTCTCAGCCACTAAGTATCTCCAGGTACTGGCCATGAGTACAGTGTGGGTCAGGCCTGGTGGGGGGGTGGCCCAGGTGGCCTTAGGACCCCCCCACCATGGAAAACCAGCTATGGCAGGACACACTGGGGTGCTGCGATCAATACCAAGAAAGCCCCCAGGGTGCCGAGGACATCTTATTCCTGCTGCTGGGCCTCATCATTCTTGTCAACATCAGCATCAACATGGCAACCTTGGTCAGTGATGATTGTGGACCACCCACAGGGTTGAAAAGGGTTGAGTAGAGAAGCCAGTTACAGCTTGCTTCACCTGCAAGAGTGGGCTGGGGTTGTTGGGCGTGGTGATTGTGGTGGAAAGCTGGTCTTCACTCCCATTTCCCCACCACCCCCAGATGTGGCAGGGGCTCCAGAATGCCTTAGACAAGACGATCTATTGGATGAATCAGAAAAGTAAGTATGGCAGCTAGGCAATAGGGCCCCACCACCAGTCACTACCATGACCCTAGAAAGTCAGGCCCCAGTACTCTCAACCCTGAACTCTTCTGGCAATTGTCCTGATTTCATGGATTCTTGCCTCTAACAGATGAAGTCCAGGCTACAGAATGTCCTCCCAAAGGTCCCCCAGCCAAGGCCCAGGACATCCACATCCACTGCATCCTGGATCCTGTACAGGTGAAGATGGCACAACCCACATGCTCTTCCTCTTCCTCCTACCACTATCTCCATAAACGGTGTAGGTGTAGCTGCAGCCGCAGCCACAGGCCCAGGCACAGATGCTACAGCAACTGCCACCAATGTGGCCACCACAGCTACCAGCAGAGACCATGGAACAGACAATTCTCGCATGGATACTCACGCTTTCTAAAACAGCCTCGAAGCCACAAGATGTCACAGCTGTGGCCGGTGCCCTTTTTTGACATGAAAGACCGGGATTCCTTTCTGGAGGATGACCAGTCCTGTCCTCATCCCAAGTACCCTCATGGGGGCTGGGGTGGTTTCTATAAGCCTATGGGTCTGGCCTCCAATATGGGGCTATGGGGTCGTCAGGGTGGAATCCTGGCCAGCCTCCCATTACCCTCTCTCTACCTGTCACCAGAGCTGCGCCGCTTACCCAAGCGGGTAGAAGCCAAGTCAGAGCTAAGGCTAAAGTCCTTTGGTCCCCATTATTCACAGTCCCGGATTTGGGGTAATATGGAAGCTGAGCAGTGGGCCTCATCACCATCTCCTCCCCGAAGGCTGCTTCCTAACCCCTCCTGGGTCACTGTGGGGTATAGCCCTTTCTCTTCAGGGGGCCACATGCCATACGATGCCTGGGATCAGTGGCAGCGTGTGAAGGGCTCAGAGCCATCACCTGCTTTTGTATCCAGGAATCTCAGGACAGAGGCCCAATGCTACCGGGAGCACAACTCCCCACAGTCCCACCGACAGAACCTCCCTAGCTATACTCACAGCCAACCCAATTACAGCCCACCCCAATCCGTGGGCTACAGCTCCCCAGAATCTCATGAGGTGCGCAGACGTGCAGCTGACTGGACTGAGGTTCTACCCTCTAGGCATCCTCTGACCACCACTACCTCTCTCAAAGCATTGGGTGAGGCTTCATATCAACAGGCCCCAGCTGCCAGCTCAGGCTTGCTCCCTCACTCCTCCCAGCCCTTGCCTGAAGTCCAGGTTGTTGATTCCGCCCCACCTCCAACAACCTTTGTTCCACTCAGCCGGAATCCAGGTGGTAATGCCAACTACCAGGTGTATGACAGCCTGGAGCTAAAGCGGCAGGTGCAAGAAAGCAGAGGGCGAGCCAGCTCACTACCACCACCTTCCACCTCAGCCTCCAGGCCCTCTCTGCATAGAAGCCGGACAGGGAAACTTAACTGACCAGCATGAATGTGGGCAGTGGAGGAGGGCAACAAAAAAGAGGAATAAAGAGAAACAGAGTTCAGGATACCTTGTCATGGTCTGTGGTTTGGAAGCACCCCTCCTTTGGTCAGCCTGGGGCTCTGCCCTTCGATTCCTGAAATGAGAAAACAGTCTCCTCTTGCTTAGGGCCATGCCAGTAGGCGCTTTCTGATTCTGTATAGTACAGTATGGTCTTACAGCTGCAGACTGAAAACCACAGTTCTCTGACCACCTACCCTGTCTCTATTCTTCCTGTTTCCAAAGGGGTTCAGAGACTCAGCCTTGCTCAAGAAACCAAGGTCAGGGGTTGGAATGGTGGCTCAGAAATTAAGAGCACTTGCTGTTCTTTCAGAGGAACAGCAAGTTTGGTTCTTAGCACCCACATCAGAAAACTCACAGCTGCCTGTAACTCCAGTTCCAAGGGATCCAACACTCCTGGCTTCCAAAGGCATTCACATACATATGTACATATAAATGCATATATAAAAATAAATCTTAAAAATAAAGAGCCAGGGGGCTGGAGAGATGGCTCAGCGGTTAAGAACACTGGTTGTTCTTGCAGAAGACCTGGGTTCGAATCCCAGCACCCACATGGCAGCTAACATGGCAGCTGTCTGTGACTCCAGTCCCAGGGGATCCAACAGCCTCTTCTGACCTCCAAGGGCATTGCACGACATGGGTGCACTCACCTACATGCAGGCAGTGCACAAATACACATTAAAAAAAAAGTTTAAGCCGAGTGTGGTAGCACACACCTTTAATCCCAGCACTTGGGAGGCAGAGGTAGGCGGATCTCTGTGCGTTCAAGGCCAGCCTGGTCCACATAGTGAGTTCCAGGACAGCTGGGGCTACAGGGAGACCCTGTCTCAAAAAGACCAAAAAAAAAAAAAAAAAGTTTAAAAAAAAAAATAGCCAGGCATGGTGGTGCATACCTTTAATCCTTTAACCCACAAAGGTGGATCTCTATGAGATCAAGGTCAGCCTGGTCTACAAGGTGAGTTCCTAGCTCTAGGCCAGCTGTCTCAAAACAAACAGAAAGAAAGAAAGAAAGGGAGGGAGGGAGGGAGGGAGAGAGGGAGGAAGGAGAGAGAGAGAGACAGAGAGAGAGAGAAAGAAAAGGAAAAGAAGGAAAGAAGGAAGGAAGGAAGGAAGGAAGAAAGAAAGAAAGAAAGAAAGAAAGAAAGAAAGAAAGAAAGAAAGAAAGAAAAATTGGCCAGAAAAAGGCAGATAAAGGCAGATAAAGGCTTGAGGGCAGAAGACCAAGGCTCTAGATTCCAGCCAAAGCTAAGGCCAAGGTCTTCCCAGTCTTAGGAATTCTCAAGGGGTACAAGATTCCAGATTTTCAACCAAAACTATAGGAACGCTGGCATGAGGAGTTGTTTCAGCTAGACAATCAGAGCACATGAAGGAACAGCTGAGAAAAGGGAGGAGTGCTTGCCTACAGGCTTAGGTTACTCAGGCCTGGTCACCAAGGAACTCCATCCTGGACCCTCTTCCTCCATCCCCATTGTGATCTCAATCACCTGCCCCATTATGACCCAGTCCTCCTCCCCTCCCCCATCAGAGGAGTCTGTTTCCTAGTGAGTATCTGGGGGCCATGGGGCCCAGGTAGTCCTGGAACCCCAGGACATGGGTGAACAAATCTACCATGGAGCCCAAACATGCTCTGGTACCAATCCCAGGAGATGCCAGGACTTAGGAGACTCAATTCTTCTGATTCTGGGCAGTTTCATCTTGCTCAACGTGGGGATCAATGTGGTGATTCTGGTCAGGACATGGTCTGGGCAGCAGGGTAGAGGGTGCTCTGGGTTTTGTTTTTTTGTTTGGAGACAGAGTCTCACTATGAAGTTCAGGCTGACTTCAAACTTAAGATCCTTCTGCCTCAGCCTCCTGAGTGCTGTTGATTACAGGCATGCTCCATCATGCTCAGCCTGAGCTCCTGGGACTGAAGTGGGAGGGAGGCTGGGATATGGCCAAACAAAGATTGCACTTCTGGGCTCACTTCTTCTGGACTCTCTTCTGCTTCCCTCAGCTCTGGAGGCACCTGAAGAACTCCTTGCGGATTCTTTTCCATCATTTTTTCCCCAAAGGTGAGTGGGCTTCTGCATGGTGGTCTGGGATTGGCTTGTCCCCTTTTCTCCCAGTCCCCATTCCCAGCAACCCCAGTATCTTGGGACCCCATCCTATCCCATTCTCCTTTCCCTGCAGACAAGCAACCCATTGGTCTAAACAGCCGACCTATGTGTGTACGAGGCACCATAGATCCCAGGAACCTGTACTCAAGAATCTCTTCCCACTTCAATCGTAGCCCCAGCTTCATACTTGGGCATGTTAACCACCTTGACTCTTGGATACCAGACACAAATAATGAGAATGCTTCTAGGTGCTGCTGGATGCCACCCCAATGTAGACATGCCAGAGCTCCCACAGAGGCTCCATGGGAATTATGGAAGGAGGGGATAATGGGAGCTGGGGAGGCCCCTCAGGCCACAGCCATGAAGATTCAGGCCCCTTTGTTTTCCAAGCCAGAGATTTCTCCCCAGTTCCTGAAGATAAACAAGCTGGATATAGTTGCACCTTCTTTACCACAAGAGACCAAGACTAAGGCCTCAGATGATAATCCAGTCCATACCCTGGCCCATACCCATGAGCACCTCATCACTAAGTCCCAGACCTATACCTCAGAGCACACTTCCTTCCAGGCACAGGGGCTTGAGCATACCTCGACCCATACTCCACCAAACCTTATCTCTGACTCTACCCCAACCCATGATAAAGCCCCCACCCTGGCCCCCACTTTACCCCCTATCCCATCCCATAGCCAAGCCCCCACCCCACACTATGCCCCAGCCCAGACCCTAGACCATAGTCAAACCCATGGCTTGGCTCAAGCCAAGCCCTACACCCCAGTTCCCATCCAAGTCCAGGTTCTTGCCCCTACCCCAGCCCAGGGTTCAGCTTGTAGCTCTGAGAACAACCACTCTCAGGCTCACAGTCCTGAGCAAACCTCAGTCCATACCCTACCTCAGCCTCCAAACCAGCCTCCTGATTATGCTTCCTCCAAATCTAAAGGTCATGACCCAGTCCAAACCCCAGCCCATACCTGGACCCACTCCCAAGTTGTCTCTGAGCAAATATCATCCCAAACCAACAAAAACCCAAACCAAACCCCAGTCCAGTCTCTATTTCATTTCTGTGCTCAAACCCAAGCCCCTGGCCCCACTTCTGCTCCAGCCCCTCACACAACTTTTGTTCCAGCCACTTCTATCCCTGCTCCAGTCTGTACCCCAACCCCTGCCCAAGAACTGTCTATGACCATGACTGCTACTCCAGCCCCTGCCCAAGTCCTCACCACCGCCCCTATCCCTATCCTGTCTCCTCCTATTCCTTCTACGCTGGCTGCCTTTGGTTCTAGCTTCCCTACTGGCCACGTAATCTCTGACACCCACAAGGTAAAGAAGAAGGTCTTCCTTAAGACCAGTGCCCAGAGCTGTAGGAATTACAGAAAGGACTTGAATAACCCCTCCTGGACCCAAGAGGGGCAGGGCCTGGGAAATTCTGGTACCTCTGAGCAGACATCAAAACAACATAGTGGGGACAGTGCTGAGTCTTCTTCAGGATCTATACTGGGCTACCTGGAGCTGGGGAACATGGAATGGAAGATCTCAGATAGTGTGAAAGACATATTCTCCCAGCCCAAGACGTTCCCTTACTGCAGCTTCCATCCCTGCTGTTCTGAGAGGAAGAACACAGAATCTCAGGCTCCAGTTTACCCCAAGTTCCTGATCTACACCCAGGATACTACACCTTCTAAACCTTGCTTACATTCTCCAAGCAGTTCTCAGAATACACAGTCCACCAGTGCTGCTCCATGTACTCTTTCTCTGCCGCTTGTTTCTCCCAGAACCTTTGTTCTTCCTCAATCTAACCATCAGAAGCCCTTCAACTTACTACAAACCCCTACCTTTCTCCCAACCTCCAAGTTTCCTCAGACTGTCTCCCCCTCCCATTTCTTTATCCATTCTCCATTCTCCACCATTTCTCAACCCTTGATTCAACCCCAAAAGAGTCAAGACCTTACACAAGACCTTGACCATCAAAGGACTTCATCTCCTGCCAAAGATTCCAGAGTTTCCAGGAACCCAAGCCTTATCCGAGATACGGGACTCCACAAGAAACCAGGCCTTACCCAAGATCCAGGCCTCCACAAGAACCCAGGTCTTACCCCAGCTCCAGGCTTCCACAAGAACCCAGGCCTTACCCAAAATCCAGGTCTCCACAAGAACCAGGGCCTTACCCCAAATCCAGGCCTCCACAAGAACCCATGCTTTCCAGGACTTACTCAAGATTCTTACTGCTGCACGAATCCAAATCCTTCCCAAAACTCTTGCCTTCACAAGAATCCAGGCATTACTCAAGATTCTGCCCTAAGGAGTTCAGTTGCTATTCAAGATGCTGGTATTCTTAGTTTTACCCAACCTTGCCCTCACAAGAACATGCTAAGTACTCAAACTCCTGACCAAGGCAGTTTGGGCTTTATACAAGACTCTGGCATCTATAGGAATGTTAAATTAAACCAAGACACCATAGTTTACAAAGATCAAGATCTCTCCCCAACCTGTGACCAAAAGAGGCCAGCCCCTTCTCAAGATCCTGGAGGTAACAACAGCACTGGAAATGTACAAGATCCAGAAGCTTGTAGGAGTTCAGGCCTTACCCAAGACTCTAGACCACAGGAGAGCCAGTGCCATAGCCAAAACACTGAAGTCAACAAGACCTCAGAGCTTCCCAGGGGATCTGGTCTCCATAAGAGCCCAGGCTTTTTCCAAGCCTCTTGTTGTCATAAGAACTCAGGTCTCATGAAAGACTCAGGAGACAGCAAGAATCTAGGCCTTATTCAAGATTCTGAAATCTATAGAGTCCCAGATCTTACCCAAGAGTCTAACGCCAAGAGTCCTACCCTTACTCATGCCACAGAATTTCAAAAAAGATTGAATGTTACCCAAAATGTTGGCATTTGCAGGAGTTCAGAACATACCCAAGACCCTAACCTTCACAAATGCCCAGGAATTAATCAAGATTCTGGGCCCCATCAGAGCCCAGAACTTGCCCAAGGCTCTGGCTTCCCCAAGACTCCAAACCTCGCCCAGCAAGTTGATTTCCAGAAGGATTCATGCCTTATCCCAGATCCTGGCATCAAAAAGAACCCAGGTCTTCTTACAGCTACCGGTACTGCCCAAGTCTTGGGTCCACTTCAAAAACTAAAGCTGGCATCTTCCCCAGTGAAGTCCTCTGCATGTAAGATGGCTACTCAGAAGGAGGAGGCAGTGCAGCATGTGCCTTGGACTTCTGTCCCCAACCATCAAAATGCTTACCTTCCCAATGCCCGAGTGCTCTCCACTGACCTACAGAATTTCTCAGAGGTACCTGTACTAGTTGAACTACAGCCATCTTGCCGGCGGTTAGGCAGCAAAGACTGGGTGTGTCACCCTGTAGATACAGTTTCACCCTGCCAGAACTATCAACAGAAGTCTATGCCTCCCAAGATTACCCGGTGGTCCCATTGCCCTGGACCAGGCAGCACCAGAACAGGTCATGTGATCTCTGATTCCCGCCAGAAAACATTGGTACTAGGCAGGGACAAGTGTGAAGCTCTGTCTCCCAGGCGTCCTCATTAAGAGGCACCCAGTAACTCAGGGGAGACCCTCAAAGAATGGGGCTATCAGAATGTAATGAGAACCTTGGAAAAAGACGGGGAAAATATGCATCAGGAATAAAGAAGCAAGAGAAGTGTTCTGTGATTGTTTGAGGATATGTATCCCAGCCCCATCCCTGATGTTGACCATCCTCAGCTCAAAGACAGGAACAATTAATACCATGTCCCTGTTCTTCCATAGCTCCATAGACAAGTCCATTATCTTCCAGACTCTAGAACTGTATTTCAAAAAATATAGTATCCACTAGCCAAATGTGATTATAGAATATGAATTAAAACTTAAAATTCTCGCCAGAAGTGGTGGTGCACACCTTTAGTCCCAGCAACTTGGGAGGCAGAGGCAGGTGGATCTCTGTGAGTTCAAGACCAGCCTAGTCTACAAAGTAAGTTCAAGGCCAGCTTGTGCTACAGGGAGACCCTGTCTCAAAAAAGGACCGAAAAAAAAAACAACTTAAAATTCTTACCAATTGTTGTGTTGCACACCTGTAATCCTAGCATTTGGCAGGTGGAGGCAAAAGGAGCAGGATCCTCAGCTATCTGATGAATTCAAGTCTAGCATGAACTACTTGAGATCCAGTCTCAAAATGAAATTTAAAAAAATCCTGAGCTGGGTATGGTAGTGCACACCTGAAAGACCAAAATTCAGGAGGCTGAGTCAGAATGATTTTCATCCTGAAGTCAAGACTGCGTAGTAAGAGTCTGTTTCAAAAGACAAAATGAATTTAAATTCTGTCCTTTTGTTTCATTACATTTTCAAGTTCTCAACTACCATGTGTAGCTAGTGGATATATTGGGCAGCATAGATTCAGGACATTTTGATCACAGAAGCTTTTTGGTTTTTGAGACTGGGTCTTGCTATATAGCCCAAGCTAGCTATGAACTCATTCTATAGCCTGCACTGAACTTGAACTTGCAATTCTGCAGTCTCAGCTTCTTGAGTGCTGAGATTGTAGGGTTGCACCACCACCATACCTGGCTTTTTTATGGAAGGAGGGAGTTCTGTTTTTTTTTTTTTTTTTCTTTTTGAGACATGGTCTCACTATGTAGCACAGGCTGGCTTCAAATCTGAGGTATTCCTCTCCTGCTTCAGCTTCCTGAGTATTGGGATTACTGGTATGAGCCACTACACCTGATATAGTACAGGTAATTCTATTCTCCAAAGACTGAGTGTGGTGGTACACACTTGTAATCTCCAGAACTTGGGAAACAGAAGCAGGAGAATCAGGGTCACAGTCAACCTCAACTACACAGTGAGCTCAAGGCCAACCTGACTTACACCAGACTCTGTCTCAAAAAAGGGGGCGGGGAGGGGGCAATATGGCTCAGGGAGTAAAGGCACTTGCACCAAGCCTGACAACATGAGTTCAGTTCTCAGGACCCACATGGTAGAAGGAGAGAATCAACTCTTCAAGTTGTCCTTTCAGTTCCACATGCAAGTTGTGGCATAGGTACATGAACACACACACATACACTCTAAATTAAAAAAAAAAAAAAGGGGAATTCCCCCAGATGGCTGAGTGGGTAAAAATATATGCTGCCAAGCCTGATGACCTGAGTTTGATCCCTGGGGCCCATATGGTGGAAGGAAAGGACTGGCTCCCACAAGTTGTCCTCTGACCTCCATGCATGTGGCATGGAATATGTTCCTACACACACACACACACACACACACACACACACACAGACAAAAATAAATGGTTTTTATTTTTTGGTCTTTTTGAGACATGGTTTCCCTGTAGTCCCAACTGGCCTGGAGCTCACTATGTAAACCAGGCTGGCCTTGAACTCACAGAGATCTGCCTGCCCCTGCCTCTCCAGTGCTGGGATTAAAGGTGTGTGCCACCACATCCAGGCAACATAAATAAATGTAATAAAAAAATTACAAATAAAGTTCTATTTTGTTGGAGAACAATGCTTTAGTTTAAAACATTTTATTTATGTTTGCTTTTTTATTTTGTGTGTATGAGTGTATTACCTGCATGTATGTAAGTATATCCATGTCATGCAATGCCCATGGAGGTCAGAAGAGTGTCCAATTCCTCTGGCTGCCATGTGGGAGCTGGGAATCAAACCCGAGTCTTCTGCAAGAGCAGTCAGTGCTCTTAGCTGCTGAGCCATCTCTCCAGCCCCTAAATGCTTTAGTTAGTTTAAAGAACTTTCATTTTTCTTGTCATCCATCTCCAAGAGAAACTTGTTGGATTTTACTGTGGTTCAGAAGCTACTCTGAGGAGGAGAGATGTTGGGATGCCCTATGCCTGGTTGCCCCAAACTGTGAGAAAAAAAAAAAAACCAATCTTTAGTTCTCCTGATCTGGTCTCTTGGATCACATTCAGATTATATAGAGCTATCTATATTCTCAGTTCTCAGCTGTTTAAGGTGCTCTCAGTTCCCCCCTGTGGCTGAAGGGGAAGGGTACCTTTATCAGGGACTTGAAACCCCGTAGGCCTGGGCTTCACAAATGAGCTCTGGTTTCAGGAGTTCCTTTACAGATTCCCCCACTCACATTTTTGAGTCAGTGTCTCACTCTAGGCCAGGCTGACCTGGAACTCACTCTGTAGTCCAGGCTGGCCTCAAACTGATGATGATCTTTCCTACCTCAGCTGCCCAAATGCTGGGATTCTAAGCTTGATTCACCACACCTGTCACAACCCTCTAATATTTATTTTTACATTTTTTTGAGACAGGGTGTCCCTGTAGTTCCAGCTAGCCTGGAACTCACTATGTAGACTAGGCTGGCCTTGAACTCACAGAGATCTGCCTGCCTCTGCCTCCCGAGTGCTGGGATTAAAGGCATGCATTGCCATACCTGTCTACCCCTCTAATTTTTCAAGATGTCCCCAATTAATTTTTTAACCCAAGAATTTAGGCCTTTTCTACTCTGGAAAGATCAAAGGCCCAGTGATGGATGGTCTGGTCTGAGCCTACTGCTAGTTTACTATGTTTCTGTGCCAATATCCCAGCTCCTTGTCCCACCCTGTGTTTGTACTATATTCTCATACCTTTATTCTGGTCCCTGGTAGTATAGGTTACTGAAAGCAATCTCCTGCCCTAATTCTTTTTCATGGCCTGACCTAGCCTAGCTGAGAGTTTCCTCTAGACTTGAATTTCAGTCCTAATAGTTTCTGTGTACACATTACTCTGAAATCCAGTGTTTTCTCTGTCGTGATTCTGCATCCATGAGGTAAGTATTTTTAGTGTGTATTCCTCTTTCATAATGCAGATGCCTACTTCTGTGTTACCGTCTGTATGTTCCTGCCTTATAGTACTACCACTGATTCCAAGAAGATGCCTTCCTACCAAGCCAGGGAGCCCCTTTCTAACATCTGCTTCATTCAACTCTGACCTTGGACAAGCCATGCATATTTTTGTTCTTGTTTTAAAGAATCTAAATTGACCAGGCTGGCCTCCAACTTGCCATCCTATCTCTGTCTTCCAAGTCATGCACAACCTTTCTAAGTTACAGTCTTCCTGTCTATAAAATGAAGTCATAATTTCCTTAAAGGAGCCTCACAACTGGAATGCAGGGTGTGCCCTTCATTACTGTTATGCTCTTCAGATCCATCTAATTGTCCCTCTATTCAAGTTCCAATGAATGTTTGTGTGAGATTGACTAGACACAGAATAATAAACTGCCACAGAAACAACTTCTAGGTAGGTGAGGTGGTACAGGCCTAGCTTCCCTCCCAGTTCTAGGTAAGCTGAGATAGGATTGCTGTTGAGTTCAAGGACAGCCTGGGCTTACATAGTGATCCCAGGCCAGCTTTGGACTACATAGAAAGACTTTGGATAAAGGGGCTGGAGAGATGGCTCAGCGGTTAAGAATATGGACTGTTCTTGCAGAAGGCCCAGGTTCAAATCCCAGCACCCACATGGCGGCTAACAACTGTAACTCTTCTGTCCTCTGCAGGGATTGCATGACGCGGGTGCATTTACCTACATGCAGGCAATGCACACATACACATAAAAATAATAAATAAAATATTAAAAAAGAAAAGAAACCAGTTTCCATTAGACACTCCTTCAGGGGAATGGGAAAGGATGTGAGGCATCACTTCAAGGACCAGGAAAGGACCAGGAAAGCTGCAGAACACAAACTACAACTCCCAGGGTAGCCTGAGATCTCAGCAGGGAGAGAGGCGGGACTAAACTGTCACAGGAGGTGGGACCAGTCAAGAACCAGAGACAGCCTCCAGAAAAGGGGGTGGGCATGTTGGGCATCAGGAAGTTACCTGTTGAATCTGTGCTTTCTCTTCCCCACCCTTTCAACTACACTTTAAAGAAAAGCTGCATAAGCCTCTTCTGAAAAAGAGGTAAAGGGAAATGGACAAAGGGTGGTGGTGAAGGCAGGCTACTGTATTACCCAGGAGGGGTCAAATAGCTATTTTTTTACCTGCTGAGTCAGGTGAACCGATTCACCAGGGCATCAACCTGCATGTAGGAAAAGGAGGAAGTTTTCCTTTGTTCAGTTTTCAAGCCTAAACTTAGATCCACTTGTGAACTGTTTATTGTATTTGCTCTACCTCAGAAAGAGGAAAAAACTAAACTTTTGGGCAGCAAAGGAAAGGCCTATCTAGGCTAACTCAGGTCTGTTTGCTCTAGCCCTAAACCATAGAGACACATGGCTTCCACGGTCTGGGGAGGTGCCCCCTGGTGGGGACCGCCACCCCCAGCCCCAGCCCGGCCGCTCACCGACATCGATTTCTGCTCTGGGGCACAGCTGCAGGAACTGACCCAGTTGATTCAGGAGCTGGGTGTACAGGAGAGCTGGAACGAAGGGCCCAAGCCTGGAGCTGGCCTCCTCAGAGCCAAGGATTTTGTCTTCTCTTTGCTTGGTAAGTAACTCTTACCTGTAGGTAACCCCCAGCTTGGCCATTCCCCACCCCGGCTTTGGAGAATGATTCCTTCTTCCTCCTCCTTTAGGTTTGGTTCACCGCCAGGACCCCCGTTTTCCACCCCAGACAGAACTCTTGCTGCTTCGGGGTGGGATTCGTGAGGGCTCCCTAGATTTGGGGCATGCACCCTTAGGTCCCTACACCCGGGGACCTCACTATGATGCTGGCTTCACACTCCTCGTGCCGGTGTTTTCCCTGGATGGCACTGGGCCTGAGCTGATTCTGGACCCGGAATCCTGTTCCGCATGGCTCCGCCTTCCAGAGCTGGCGTGCGGAACTTCGGTCTGGGAGACCTGGCAGGATTGCCTAGGACCTCCTGTTCCAGGAGAATGTGATTTGATTCACCAAACCCATAGCAAAGAGAATCCTATAGACCAGCAAAGCTCTGTGGACCAATCACACGATTATGTCTCCGAGCCTGAGCCACACCTATCTTTGGAAAAATCGGAAAAATCGTCTAATGACCTTTCAGGGTCCGAATCGCCTCATCATGACGTCACCGACCTTGGCTCTCCGAAACCATTGAAAACACTGAATAGTGACGCCACAGAGGCAGCAGACGAAAGCCCAGTCCCAAAGCCGTCGGAGGCACGGAAGGAATGGCCCACATTGTGCCCGGCCCAAGTGGCTGCATGGTTCTTCGTTAAGCTGGCTGGGGTCGCTGAATCCCTCATTCCGGTTCCTGGAGCCCCCAGGCTAGTTCACGCAGCTCGCCACGCGGGTATCACCACGGTCCTCCTGGCCACGCCGGAGCCACCACGCCACCTCCTGCTCTTCGACCTGATCCCGGTGGTGGCCGTGACAGGATGGCCAGATGGGGCTAGGAGCCACTCGTGGGCGGGTCCACTGGCCTCGGAGTCAGAGTCTTTTTACCTGGTGCCGGGCGGCGGCCTCGAGCAGCAGGGCATCTCTGGATGGCAGCTCTGCTTCGCCCGCCAGGAGCTGGCGCTCAAAGCGCGCATCCCCGCGCCGCTGCTCCAGGCACACGCGGCTGCCCAGGCGCTGCTGCGCCCGCTGGTGGCCGGGACCCGGGCCGCCGCGCCCTACCTCCTGCGGACCTTGCTGTACTGGGCGTGCGAGCGGCTGCCTGCCCTCTACCTGGCGCGGCCGGAAAATGCGGGCGCTTGTTGTCTTGGGCTGCTGGATGAGCTGAGTCGAGTGCTCGAGGCCGGGATGTTGCCTCATTATTTTCTGTGTGGCCGAAAGCTGCAAGTGGGAGAAGGGTCAGCTGCCCTGCGTGCGGCGTTGGCCCAGCTCCGCGGGGACCCTGCCCAGGCCCTGCGCGCAGCGGTGGAGGAAGCCAAAGTTGCCCGCAAGGGGGGCGGTTTAGCCGGCATAGGGGGCGGGGTCCATTAAAGAGTCTACTCCTACGGGTGTGGAAAGTGTTTCCGTTGGCGAGAGGGACTTCTCCTCCTTCTCCTAAGAGACAGACTGTGTCCTGGGCCCAGAGTCTCCTAAAAGGTCTTCCCCATCTTTCTGCCCTGCCCACGGTCCAAGTTCTCTAAATCTGACTGGCATTCTCCCCGCCCCCCCGTCCCGGTGCAACCTCTCTCCCCAATTCTTCCAGTCAACAGAGGTGGAAGGAATGTATTTGCTGACTAAATGCAGAAAGGAGAGTTCTTGGGAACTTGGTACTGATCAGTCTGGCTCACAGAGTCAGAGATAAGAAGGCCAGACTGGATGTCACAACCATCCCCATTTCTCCACTTTCCTCCACTTTTGTTCTCACCTCCTCCTATCCCAGACAGTAAGGGTCTCTCTCCATTCTCCTGCCATCCGCCATTCCATCTAAAGCACCAGGACCCGCCACATCAGGATTCCTAGCCTCCCCCCAACCCCAAACCCCGAGACGAGATCTGCGGCCTTGCCTTGGCTCCGCCTGCTTCTGAGACAGTCCCCAGTCCCGGCTTCCAAGGAACCCCAGGTTCTGCCCGCCCAGCTTCGCCCCCTTCTTCCCAGCGTCTCCGCCCCCTGCCCCGCCCCCGGGCCGGCTCTCAGAGGAGCGGAGCTGCTGTCAGCTCCGCGGCCTCAGCGTCCCTAACCGCTGCTGCCGCTGCTGCCACCGCTCCGCCTGGTCCAGCCTCCAGGCCCAGTGCTCCTACTTTACCGAACCGGGGCGCTCTGCAGAGACATCCTCACTCCTTCTTGGGGGTCCGGGACGCTTAACTCGGCGTTGGGGGGGGAAGCTCCGCTTGCGGGGGACAGGGAGGGAGGAGCCTGGAGCCGGAGCCAGCGCCACCCGTCGCCCGGATCAACAGGACAGGACAGGTTGAGGGGCGTCGGGGAAAGGAAGGGGTGCTATAGGCAGCCCCAGGGGGCGACAAGGAAGCTCGAATGCGCTATGATTTATTAGGGGCCTGTTCACATTTGGGGAGTGGTGACAACGTGGGTGCACTCCTCTCAGGGGGCTGGTTAGATTGGAGGGCGTGGGATCTAAGTGCCAGCTGTTCCTCAGGAAATCTAAGGGGCAACCAGAAAAACAAAACTGATGCTCCTAGTTTCGAGGTGACAGAGGGTCCTCCAGACAACCACCTGGGATATGCACTAGGAAGGACCGATTTGGAGGTGACTTGGAAAGGAGTGGAGGGTAACAAGGTGAGGAAAGGGTCTCAGCAATTGGAACCCTGTGATGTCAGAAATGAAGGCTGACAGTGAAAAAAGGCATTGTCCTGGAATCCCTTCTTATTGAGCATAGACAGCCTGGATATTGAGACATACTTGTGGGGGGGCTTGTGAGAGAGTGAGAGGTTCACTTCATTAGAAGATAGCAAAGGAAGAAGCATCAGGGCTGGGTTCCTCCCTGACATTGACAGCAGCCCTGGGAAAGCTAATATCCCCAAAGCTATCCCCTTTAGTTTATGAGTAGATTGGGCAGGAGTGACCCCAAAATAGGGTAGGAAGGTGCCTGAAGATACTGAAAAGACATCTTGGAAATCTGGAGGGTCTTGACTTTGGGTTAGAGGAAGTGGAGACAAGAGACTGAAGAGGAGGGGAGAGTTTCCAGTAAGGGACACAATTCATGGGTGAGGTCAGCTCAGGCGTGCATAGGCTGCTGGATCCGCTGAAGCTAGTGCAGGGCCCAAGGGTGGGAGCCGGTGGCTGTGGGGGGACGTAGGGAGGTCTGGGGCTTATCCTCAGGTCCTGTGGGTGGGGCAGTGAGTTGGGTCTTGAGCATGCCCTGGTGAAGAGGGCTCCTCTGGGGTAGCCCAGGGCGCTCCAGGAGCCTGCTGGTTTGGGGGTATCTCCTCCCCCGGCGCTATGGCGGCGCTGGCCAGTAGCCTGATCCGGCAGAAGCGGGAGGTCCGCGAGCCAGGGGGCAGCCGGCCGGTGTCGGCGCAACGGCGCGTGTGTCCCCGAGGCACCAAGTCCCTTTGCCAGAAGCAGCTCCTCATCCTGTTGTCCAAGGTGCGACTGTGCGGGGGGCGGCCCACGCGGCAGGATCGCGGCCCGGGTGAGTGTGGCTGGGGCTGGGGCTGGGGCCTCTGGGCGAGAAGTCCCTCTGCCTGGGGGACTGAGGCCTGGGACTCTAAAGGATGCAGCCGGATGGGTGGGAAGGGTGTCCCAAAAGTGGAAGGGGTGGGTCAGAACGACAAATCTACAAGACTATGTATGCCTCAGTTTCCCTCCTCTTTGTCCCTAATGCCTAGTCTCCTTGCTTTCGAGGGCAAGGGGAAGGTTTGAGGGGCCAAGTCTGGTGCCCCAAGCTTCTCAGCTCCAGCCTGCTCCCCTTCAACATAGGACTCCCCACCCCCGCACCGTTCTCCGCCTACGTGCTGGTTCTCGCGATTCTTTCAGTGCGAAGCGGAGGGACCCTGGGGGGGTTCCGGACGCCTGGGTCACCCAGAGAGTTTCTGTAGCTCTGGCCGCCCCGCCCCCGCTCCGGTTCTGCCGCTCCTCCACGCTCTGGCTGGGTTCCTCCCGGTTCAGCTCGCCTGGCTACGAGCCAACCTCTCCAGCTCTCCCCGGGGTGTCCTTGCAGCTACCTCACCAGCTAGCCCCCTCCGTATGCCCTCCTTCTGTGACCTGCGCTTTGAGAAGGGTGGTGGACACCCCCCCCCCATTACTCCGGTGCAATTCGGAAATCGGGTCCTACAGGCTCGGGGGGTCCCTTCGCCAGGAGGAAACTACACCAAGATCCGGCCGAAGACTAACACAAAAACTTTGGGGGGGGGGGGGGGGGTGTCGTACCACCTACAGGAGGAACAGGGAAATCAGAGAGCAAGCGACAAGAAAGGAAGAGTTGTGTGGGTTAGCATGTGATCCCCATCCAGGTACTACAGTCAGGGAGTCCCTCTGGCCCCTCTCCAAGCCGCTGCCAGTTCCTGTAGGGGTAGCCCCTCGCGCCATCCTCCCCACCAGCAGCCGTCCATAGTGGTACAGTCTGCAGCCCACCCTCTGAGTGGAACCCAGTCGCCACGTGATATAGCCAACCTCTCTCCCCTCAGCCCCTTCTCTCTTTTCCTTCATGTGAATGAATGTCCGCCACCCCAGGCCAGTTACCTAGCTGAAAGGTAGAGGTGCTGCCTCATGGAGAACTGGACCCTGATGAGCCAGCAGACTGACAGACAGACAGATGGGTCAGCGTCAGACAGGAAGGCGCTGTGCCAAAGCAAGGCCGGTGCCAAGCAAGCGGCAGCTGCAGCAGCAGGTGCTGAGTCAGCGTCAGGCCGGTCCCACCCCTGCTTCTGAGAGGGAGCCCCTTCTCTGTGGTCACTTTGCTGTTCATCCCCCGACATTTGCAAATACATTGCTTAGAGTCTCCCTCACAGTCCGTTGCCTTTAATGTCTCTCCTCTTCCTCCTCCCTGCCCCTCCCCCTCCCCCTCTCTGGTTGAGAGTAGGAATTAAGCTATTTAAATAAATTTCAATAAATTAGAGGAAACGGAAGGGACCCATACCCCAGCGTGCTCAGGAATCAAAGACAGGTGGAAGAAAGCTTGCTTGGAAGGGTAAGAGAGCTGGGGCCCTGGGACCCTCTGCTCTTCCCTCCTTTCTTTCCTGTGATCCCACCAAGTGTAAGGAATGTTTCTGGGAACAGAGACATCATTTTCAAAGATGAATCTCTCTCTCTCCAGAGCCTCAGCTCAAAGGCATCGTCACCAAACTGTTCTGCCGCCAGGGTTTCTACCTCCAGGCGAATCCTGATGGAAGTATCCAGGGCACCCTAGAGGACACCAGCTCCTTCAGTGAGAGGGGAAGCCAGCCGCTGGGTGGGAAGTGGGGAGATGGGGACAGGAGATGACAATTCTATTCCCTCCTCAGTCTTCAGGCTTTGTTGCCTTCAGTCTCTTCCTGACTCCCAAGGGAAACAATGGAGCAGGGATAGGGTCGCAGCTCAGATGGGCGTGAGGCTCCTGGTACTGATGCCTCTCTCTACTCCCCCAGCCCACTTCAACCTGATTCCTGTGGGGCTCCGTGTGGTCACCATCCAGAGTGCCAAGCTGGGTCACTACATGGCCATGAACGCTGAGGGGCTACTGTACAGCTCGGTAAGACAATGAGGTTGAGTGATATGGGATTACTGGGGACGCCCTCCGTATACAACCCTCATTGACTACAGACATTTTGAATCTAGGACTCCCTCACCCTCCTGCTTTAGCTGATTGCTATCATCACTCCCTACTCCAAAACTCCTCTAGGGTATAACCAATCTCTGTCACACAGTCCACCCCCAAAGGCCCCCACTTCTCATCCTATGTCCTCTAAACTTCATCTGTATTCAAGATAGGGAACGCTAAGAGGTTGGGAATGGAGAAAAGGGATCTTTTTTCCATGACTCCTATAAGTCTAGTTCCTAACCCTTGCTGGCCTACCAGGCTCTTCCTTGCCCTCCCTTTGCTCTGGTTTCTGCATGAACTCAGTCGTTCCCTTCCTCTGGGATACAAATATATGATTATAGCCCAACCTATTCCTCCGGGACACAAAATGTATGGTGTATGGATTATATCCCAACCTATTCCTAAGGATGCCCTTACATTTGCCAGTGATATTTCTGTCTCTCTCTCTCTCTGTCTCTCACTCTCTCTGTCTTTCTCTGTGTATTTCTGGGTCTTTGTCTCCTCAGCCACATTTCACAGCAGAGTGTTGCTTTAAGGAGTGTGTCTTTGAGAATTATTATGTCCTGTATGCCTCTGCTCTCTACCGTCAGCGTCGTTCTGGCCGAGCCTGGTACCTAGGCCTAGACAAGGAGGGACGGGTCATGAAGGGTAACCGAGTCAAGAAGACCAAGGCAGCTGCCCACTTTGTGCCCAAGCTCCTGGAGGGTGGGTATGGGCTCAAGAAAAGGTGGGCCACGGGGAGGTTATTGACCTTGACATGAACATTTAGTGGCACACAACTCAGGTTATGTGTTGTAAAAGGTTATGCTGTTATGATGGGCCGAAACAGGAAGGCTTTAGACTTTGGGGGTTTGGGTAGCTGGCCTCCTTTGGGATGGGGTTCTCCAAGGGTAAGTATAGGGGAAGGGAGGCCTCTCAGAGCTCTGGTTCTGCCTGGGTCCCTTGTGCCTAATTCTCCTTCCCTGCTCCTCTCTCTCTCCCCTTCACAGTGGCCATGTACCGGGAGCCTTCTCTCCACAGTGTCCCTGAGACCTCCCCTTCCAGTCCCCCTGCCCCCTGAGATGTAGTCCCTGGATTGGAGGCGCCTTGCACTCCCAGTGAGCCAGCCACCGCCACAGCCTGTCTCCTAGCCCTGCTCCAGGCCTTGCTCTTCCCCTGTTGCCACACACATGTCCTTAGCAGCCAGGTCTCACCAGGTGCTGTGCCCTGATGGAGCTAGGGGCTGGCTGGAACTTCTGGGGCTGCTGAGCTCTTAGATCCTGGGGCCCAGAGAAGGTTCAGAGATGAGGGTCCTGGCTGATCAATTCTTTCTTTCCACAACCCCCTCACCATCAAAAATAAGCTTTTTCCTGAAATGACACTGGGGGTTCCAAAATTGTCAAAGCCAGGCATACTATACCTCACCCCTGGCTCAGCCAGTTCCTGAAGCCATGCACTTCTTTCCATTGCTTTATAGGTCCACTGGAGCTCAGGATCAGTTTCCTTTTCTCCCCACTATTACCTTCTTCCATGGTCCAGGTGGGTTCTAGTACACCAAATACCACAGCCAGGGCCATTTCTGTGTTCTGTACTATAACCCAGGCATGGATCCTTCAGGCTTCTATCCTTGACCCAGATGGACCCCTGGTTTCTCAGAAGAGAGAGGCTAAGTTTGAGCCACCCAGAAGCTTTTAGCCTTGGCCTGAATTGAAACCAGTCTCAGGTCACCACAGATTTAATCTTTGTATCCCAGAGACACCCAATTCTAGAGCACGGTGTTCTAGACCTTTTTGGAGCCATACTTCTACCTGAATCTCAGCTCTAGAACATAGACCATGACTTTCAACCCTTCTTCCCAGGAAGGAACTAGGGCCTATATAGCCAAATTATTGTTCTAGTGTAAGTTCTAGAACCATCCTTCCACCTTCTGTCATGATTATTTAAGAATGAGCTATGTATAGAGCCCAGGTATGATTCATAAAGAACTAATTCATTCTGAGCTGGGCATGGTGGCACATACCTGTAATCCCAGTACCTGGGAGGCTGAGACAGAGGATTGCCAGCGGAGGCCATCCTGAGCAGGGAGAGAGGGGAGAGGGAAAGGGAGAGGGAGAGGGAGAGGGAGAGAGAGAGAGAGAGAGAGAGAGAGAGAGAGAGAGAGAGACTAATTTAGTACTGGATGAATCAAGAACCACTGCTTGTTTTTCCTAGATAATTTTCTAAAAATCTTCTTCCCTATAGAATGCTAACCTTAGTTTTACAAGCAGTTTCTAGTTCTGGCATCTCAGCTGGGGTCCTGCCAGGAAAACAGAAGGGCACAGGAATTTTGAAAAGATAACCTGGCTCATAATAGGGAAACAGAGAAGAAGGCAGAGAAGGCAGCCATTGTATGATTCAACCTGTGTCTGAGTTGGAGAGACATGAACACTTAGCTACCTCTGCAGGAACTCCTTCCAGGTTCCCTTTAAAGCTGAGGCCCTTTGCCAGATGTGGAGCACACATTTGTGATCCCAGCATTTGGGAGGTAAAGGCAGGAGAATCAGTTTGAAGCTGGGCTCTGCTACTTACTTAGGCTCAAGGGCAGCCTGGGCTACATTAGACCCTGTCTCAAACAACCACAACAACAAAAGCTGAGGTCCCTAAGGGCAATAACTCTGGAATAAAAAGAAATAAATAGGACACAGCCTTGACTCCCCTGCCTCCTTAGCAAGGAGACCCCAATTCAGCAATAAGTCTAACTTCTACCCTATACAGGTCAGGTCAAAGAGGATGAGGGACCTCTTGGGCTCCCAGACCTCACCATATCCCCAGAGCTTCTAACAATAGAATTTGCTTTATCTTACAGCTTGTAACCTCAGCTGGATTTAGGTACCCAAAAAGAGCCTGGCTAGATTTTTTTTTCAGGAAAACAGGGGAAGCTATGGGGAATGTCCTGTAGTAAAATAGGAGGGAGATTCCTAGTCACTGTAGACCTAGGCGGGAAAGACTGTGGAGGCCCATAAGGGAGGGACTAGTGCTCAAAGGCAGGTCAGTTTTCCTCAGGCCCCGTTACTTTTGGCTTGTGGCAAGAGATGCCCCCCTCCCTCACACAAATCCTGCTCAGGTTCCACGCACCTTCTGGCTCGGCTCTCAGGGGACCGGGTCTCCTCTCCATGCTTTCTCAATTAAAGACGATTTATACAACTGCAGTGTGAGTCTGGCATCAGTGAGTGGAGGGCGACGACAGTTGCCCGGGGCGGGATCAGATCCGGAGGGCGGAGCGGGTGGGCTGGCGACTGGTCCCCCGACAACAGGTGCACATTCCTGGGAGCCTTGTCACTTCCCTTGCTCTGGCGGCCTCGGCTACTCTCCCGACAAACTCAGTGAGTGGAGCGGTGGGGCTATGACCTCATGGGCGCTGCTGCTGCTTCTGGGGGTGCTCGGGGCGCCCCTAGCCCCCGGTAAGTACGTCTGGGCCCGGAAGAGGCAGTGACAGGGGCTGCGGTCGCTGCCAGCCTCGTCACACTTAGTGCTTTCCTTCCTCAGGCGCTCACGGGTCGGAAGCCGAAGGCCAACTGCGTGAAAAACTTTTCTCGGGCTATGACAGCTCGGTGCGCCCGGCGCGGGAGGTGGGAGACCGCGTGACGGTCCGCATTGGCCTGAGCCTGGCGCAACTCATCAGCCTGGTGAGGGCGCCCTGTGGGGCAGGTCGCCGGGGCGGACAGCCAGGGGCGTGGCTACTCAGCCGATGGGCGGGGCTGGAGAGTCGGGGCGTGGCTTTAGACCGGGCGGGGTCGACGATGGGTTATGGGCGGGGCCTGAGGCCAGCTCGGCTGAGACAGGCTTTTAGCACAGATTGGGTAGAAATCGGACCAATGAACACGCTCGAGGGCGGGGCATCGCTGACAGGCCCAGAATACAGCGGAGTAGGCGTGGTTAATCAGCCAGTGCGCAGACTTTGAGTGGGAACTGGGGCGGACCGGGACCCTCTGTGGGGCGGACCTTGAGGGAGGGGCCGAGCAAGATTCTAACCCGGCTGGGTTCCAGGAGTCAAAGAACAGCCCTCCGCTAGGATTAGATGCGGGGCGTGACTGGTGGCTCAATCAGGGGGAGGCCAGGGAGGGCGAATCTGAAAGGTGAAAAGGCGGGAAGGCTCGTGTTTCAGAAGCTGGTGTTTCCGACATAAAGGCAGGGCTGATTCTAAGGCAACTTCCAGAAGGTGGGGTTTAGAGAAAGGAGGCAGATGTCTACAGAGATACCCTTCTTTTTTCTCTCCACTTCGTTTCACTTCTGCCGTTTGAATTTTTCCTTTTTAGAACGAGAAGGATGAAGAGATGAGCACAAAAGTGTATTTAGACCTGGTATGGAGACCCCCTGGGTGGGGAAAGGGCCTCCTGTTGTCTTTATTATCTGGAATGCTCAGCCCAGTAAGAATCTTTTTTTTTGGCGGGGGGGGGCGTATCAAAAAGCACATTTATAACCGAAACGGAAGCTTCAATAAACAATTCCTAAGGGAGTTGCACTACATACATTTCTCTTCCTGATTTTTTAAAACACAGGTTTCTTGTTGCTAATTTGAATCTCCATCGATGCACTAACCGGCTGTGAACTGCAGTTTGAAAATTACGATAGTAGAGGAAAGTCAGTGCAGTATCTTCATTTTCATAGACTACAAAATTAGAGCCCAGGCAGGGCATGGTGGCACACACCTTTAATCCCACCCCTGGTGAGGCAGAGACAGTGAGTTCTGTGAGTTCGAGGCCAGTTTGATCTATATAGCAAGCTCTAGGCCAGTCAGGGGTATGTAGTGAGACCTCGTCTCAAAAAGCAAAACAAAGAATTAGAGCCCAGTTTAGGGGAAAGAATTAGCAGATGTGGATCCCAGTGACTAAAGGTAGAGCTAGAGGCAGAACCCTCACCCTTGACTCACAGATCATGCCTGTGTTGCTCCTCTTCCTTGCACTCTTATTGTGGGCATCCTTCCAGACATCCCAAGTGTCTTCCAGGCCTCTAACCCAGGATAGTCCTAAAGCCTTTGCTTCCCTAGGAGTGGACTGACTACAGGCTAAGCTGGGACCCTGCAGAACATGAGGGCATTGATTCTCTACGCATCACTGCTGAATCCATTTGGCTCCCTGACGTGGTGTTGCTGAACAAGTAGGATCTTTCCCAAGCCTGGGAGGTGGGGTGAACTTCGAAGGGGCGGGGCCTTCAGGGGACAGATCCAGATCCCTTCCCTGCAGCAATGACGGCAATTTTGAAGTTGCCCTGGATATTAATGTGGTGGTGTCCTTCGAGGGCTCTGTGCGTTGGCAACCCCCTGGCCTCTATCGCAGCAGCTGCAGCATCCAGGTTTTCAGATTTGCCCTGCCCTCAGACTTCCTGCCCCTGCCCCCAGCCATTCCCATCCCTGTGCCATAATTCCTTGGGACCATCATCTCTTGTTGGTCCTGACTTTCCCCTGTCCCACACACTTTCTTAGACTTCCAGTCTTTCTCAATGACCCTCCTCCATTTCCCCTTAATAACTAATTCTTCTGCAATTTCACCTCTCTGTGACCTCCCTTGGTTATCCCTTCTTTGTGCCCAATATCCAATGACCTCCTAAATTTCCCTAGCCCTTGCCAGTTCTATGGCAGCTTCAGTGTCTCCCACTCCATCCAGGTCACCTATTTCCCCTTCGACTGGCAGAACTGCACCATGGTGTTTAGTTCATACAGTTATGACAGTTCGGAGGTCAGCCTGAAGACAGGCCTGGGTCCTGATGGGCAGGAGCGGCAGGAAATTTACATTCATGAAGGGACCTTCATTGGTGAGTGGGCTTGGATCTCACAACCATAGGCATCTGATTTTCATTTTCTAAAAGGCTGATAAATATGCTCTGTCAGCCATGCTCATTGTACCTGGTGGGATCAGCGAGGTGGGTATAACTATCAACATTTTGCAAATATGGAAACTGAAGTCACATATGGGTTCTGATATTTAGGAGGCTGAGGCAGGAGGATTACCGCAAGTTCAAGGCCAGCCTTGACAATGTCTCTTCTCAAAATCCACAAACAAACAAACCAAAGCAAAAAAAAATGGGGCAGTGAGATGGCTCAGTGGTAAAAACTCTTGTGCAAGCCTGACCATGTTTGATCCTGCAAACCTACAGTGGAAGGAGAGAACCGACTCCTAAAAGTTGTCCTCTGACCTCCACACGCACTCTGTGGTATGCATACCTACACACACACACACACACACACACACACACGCACACGCACATGCACACACGCAAATAAAAATGAAAAACCAAACAGAAAAACAAAACAAATATGGAAACTGAGACTTGGTTAAGTTTGTTAGAGATGGGGCTGCCTAGCAGTGCGCCATCCTAGCACTGATCAGGACAGCTACCACATCTGTATTTCCTTATTCTCTCTCCTCTCCCAGAGAATGGCCAATGGGAGATTATCCACAAACCCTCTAGGCTAATCCAACTTCCAGGGGATCCTAGAGGAGGGAGGGATGGACAGCGTGAGGAAGTCACCTTCTACCTCATCATTCGCCGGAAGCCTCTCTTCTACCTGGTCAACGTCATTGCCCCGTGCATCCTCATCACTCTCCTGGCCATCTTCGTCTTCTACCTTCCTCCAGATGCAGGTAAAGGAGAAGGGATCCCAGCCCTCTTTGCCATTAGCTTAGCTTCTTCCTCTTCCCTTCTAGTTCAGGTTGAGCTTTCTTTTCTTTTCTTTTTTTTAAGATTAATTTTTTTTGAGAGAGGGTCTCACTATGTAGCCCTAGCTGACCTAGAACTCATTATGTAGACTGGGTTAGCCTGGAACTCACAGATATCCACCTGCCTCTACCTCCCCAGTGCTGGGATTAGAGGTGTGTGCTACTATGTTTAAGATTTATTTTTATGTGTTTTATCTGAATATATGTATGTGTACCACATATATGCAATGTCCATGGAGGCAGAAGAGGGCATTGGATCCCCTGGAATTGGAATTACAAATGGTTCTGAGCACCAAATGGGTGCTCGGAACTGAACCCAAGTCCTCCACAAGAGCAGCAAGTGCTCTTACTGCTGAGCCATCACTCCAACACAGGTTATTTTTTTTTAATTTGGATTTATTTATTTTTATTTTATGTGTATCAGTGTTTTGCCTGCATGTATGTAAGTGCATGCAATGTGCTTACAATGCCATGGAGGGCCAGAAGAGGGTGTCAGATCCCTTGGAACTGAAAGTAAAGACCATTGTTAGTTGCTATGTGAGTGTTGGGAATTGAAACTGGATCTTCTGAAAGAGCAACCAGTGTTCTAAGTGCTGAGCCATCTCTCCAGCTCCCTGGGGTTTTCTTTTTTAAGAGTTATTTTATTTTATTATAATATGCACATGTGTGTGCAGGTACCCACAGGGTCAGAAGTGGAGCATCAGATCCCTTGGAGCTGGAGTTATAAGCATTTGTGAGCTGCCTGACATGGGTTCTGGGATCTGAACTCTGGTCCTCCAACAGAGCAGTAAAGTACTCTTAACTGCTGAGTCATTTGTCCAGCCCCTAGTTTGGGTTTTCTTGCCAATCCAAACCATCATAGATTGGACATCAGCCGTGTTTTCCCTCCCACCAAATAGACTCAAAGACAGGATCTACATCCCTTTTCTGCTGGCTCCTCTTCACCCAGTAACAACTTATACACCTCCCTTTAGAGTTCTAGACTCCTGCTCAGGGAGCCTCCACTTCTCTGACAAGCCAAATTCCAGGCAGAGCCAACTTTCCTTTTCCCAGTCCCTATTTCTAGCAAACAACCCTTCTCCCATCTTTTAGACACCCCTCAGTATGTCACAGGAAGAATCAGACACTTTGTAAACAGACTTATTTTTAGATCCTTCAAATTGCTATATTGTTTTGAAAAGGCTATGGAGGCTGGTCTACTCATTCATGCAACTATATTTGCTGAATTTGTATAATATGCTAGGCACTGCAAATGCATCAATGAATAAGAAAATAAAATTGGATTGGGGATGTAGCTGAGTGGTAGAGTGTCAAAAGCTTTAGCCTAACATATATGAAGCCCTGGATTCTATCCCAGCAATTGAAAAAAAAAAAGGCTGGGGATGTAGAGAGTGTTTGCCCTGTATGCATACAAGAGGCCCTAAGTTAAATCTCCTGACCCTATCTTTAAATGATAAATAAATAGCAAATAAACAAACAAACAAACAAACAAATAAATAAATAAATAAATCACTGACCTTACTGGATATACATTATAGTGGGGGAGTCTACTGTGTGGTATATTATTAGAAAAGGACAAGTTCTGGGCCAGGTGTGGTGGTGCATGCCTTTTTTACAGCACTTGGAGGCAGAGGTAGGCAGCTCTCTGTGAGATCAAGGCCACCTGGTCTACATAGTGAGTTCCAGGCCAGCTGGGGCTATGGGAAGATCCTGTCTCAAGAAAACCAAACCAAACCAAACCAAACAAAAAATGGTGGGGGATGTCACTCACATGGTTGGATGTTTGCCTATCATGCATGAAACCTTTGACTCCCAGTGTGGAATAAACCAAACATGGTGGCAAAACCGTAAAACCCTAGCACTTGGGGGATGGACACAGAAGGATCAGAAGTTCAGGGTCATTCTCTGTTACATAGTAAGTTCTGGGCCAGCCTGGTATGATACTTGTGACATCTGGTCTAAAAAAAAAATAAAACATTAGGGTCAAGAAGATGGCTCAGTGTTAAAACACTTGCTGCTAAGCCTGATGACCTGAATTTGATCCCTGGAATGCTGGTGCCAGCCAGACTTAGATGAACAGCACCTGAAAGGGGGAGTGAGGATGAAAGAAACAAACAAGAGACAGAGAAAGATACTTGGGAGGACTGTCAGTAGAGACTGCAGCCCCGGTTTATTTTAGCTCAGCCTTCTTATACAGTAGAACATCAGATCACCGTTTGCTTAGCTCAATTAGCTTCAACAGCTGTTTTTCCCCACCTGTATCTGAGGGTCAAGGAGTAGTCAAATACTTGTTGTGAATTCCACCATTTAACCATCTTCCCTAAATTATCAGCACATTCCTCCTGACTTGGCAGAACAATTCTGTACTTGTGTGCAAAACACACAAACTCTTGAGTCAAGGTGAAAGATCATAAAGTAAACAAGCAAGCCTGCCACAGCTCAATGTATATAATGGCTTTGCTTATACTAATAGCTCCCAACACTGGAACCCAGATGGTGTGAGGAGAGAATGGAGATGTGCGTGCTGTGGCACATGTACCCACACACAAATATACATACACATGCTCACACAAACAAAATGTGATCAAGCAACAGAAAGATGAGAATAGGGAGAGGATGAATGTTTGATATTTTTATTTTATGCATGTGCATGGATTGCCTGCATGTAGGTAAGCGCACCGATGTCATGCAATGCCTGAGGAGGACAGAAGAGGCTGTCAGATACCCTGGAACTGGAGTTACAGACAGTTGTTAGCTGCCATGTGGTGCTGGGATTTGAACCCAGGCCTTCTGCAAGAACAGTCAGTGTTCTTAACTGCTGAGCCATCTCTCCAGCCGCATGTTGTTTAATTTTTTAAAAAAAACATTTACATTTACATTCTGTTTCAACATGGCAAAAGTCCAGAAACATTTAAGATTTAAGATAGATTTCATTCTATATATTTCTATTATTTTTAATTATGTGTGTGTTTGTGTATGGGTATGTACACTTGTGTGTGAGTGCCCCCTAAAGTCAAAAATCACAAGATCCCCCGGGAACTGTAGTTACAGGCCTTTGTGAGCTGCCTGATATGGGTGCTGGGAACCAAACTCTGGTTCTCTGCAAGAGCAGTATGAGCTTTTAACCACTGGGCCATCTCTCAAGTCCCTGCATGTTTTTATTTACTTCATTATTATTATTATTTTAATATTTTTATTTATTTTATGTGTATGAGTGTATTGCCTGCATGTATGTG